TGATGAAGTTCTAAAATTGGTTGTGGTCGTAGTTACACACCGTGTGATGCCCTACCAACCATAGAAATATTAAAACCTAATATCTGACATTTACAGAGTGGTTGGCTCTGTCAGGTGAGGTGTTAACACTGCCCCATTAACTGCATTTGGATTCACAAGTTCACCGTGAGAAAGGCTCCATTTACAGGTGGGGAAACAGATCAGAGAGGTTTGGCAAGTTATACAGTGGGGTGGCGGTCAGACAGCAGAGGCCTGGCATTTCGGGCCCCAGCAGACCTGACCCTTGACTCACCCCCAGTCCTCCCCCACTTCCCTGTACTTTCCTCCCCCTAAGCCAAGTTCCTCCCCCCCCCCCTGCCGAACGGACTGATTCTAGGTTCTTTTACCCACCACACTCTTTGCAGCCTCCAGGCCTTTGCACGTGCTGACTGACTCTCTCTGCCCAGCTGTTTCTTTCCCCTTCCTTCCTACATAGCCTGTAAAATGAATGTCAAAGTGTGAAAGAGGAGGTGCCGACTCCCAGTTTCCAGGCCTAGGGCTTGGGAAATGAGAGGTGCATGCAGAAAGGAGGGCACACGGGGGGCTGCCTGGAGGGGAAAGATCAGGACCTGCCTCTTCTGTCTTCCCCAGGGGCTTGGACCCCAACCCTCATCAACCACTTTTGAAGTCCTCGGCCTGAATTTAACCGAAGCTGTAGCCGGGGCCACATGCAAGAGAGATGAGGTCAGCTTTTCCCCTGGGCAGCTCGCCAGGCCTGGGGTGAGCGGGTGAAGAGAGAGACGTGTGGCTCTGCCCAAGTCCTGCCCACCATCTTGGCACAAGGTGATGCCATACCACCAAGTTCCCTTCTCCTTCCTCCCCCCGCCCCCCATCTGAAGGTCTCTTCTGGGAACCTCCTAGAACCTTTAATAAGAACACAAATGCAGGGGCGCCTGCCCAGCTCAGTTGGTTGAGCGTCCAACTTCGGCTCAGGTCATGATCTCACGGTTCCCAAGTACGAGCCCCATGATGGGCTCTGCGGCGACAGCATGGAGCCTGCTTGGGATTCTCTGTCTCCCTCTTTCTGCTCCCCTCCTGCTCATTCTCTCTCAAAAATAAACATTAAAAAAAAAAAAAAAAGTAAAGGGCACCCTGGTAGGGCTCGAATCCATGAACTGTGAGATCATGACCTGAGCTGAAATCAGGAGTCAGATGCTTAACAGACTGAGCCACCCCGGCGCCCCCAATAAATTTCTTTTGTACGAAATCAAGACCTGGGCGCTGAATGTACGCCTTTTTTTTTTTTTCTAGAGCATCAATGCTTCTGAACCTGCAGCAGACAGATCTAGGAAATGTGTATACTAACTCGTGTATACACACACGTATATTTATTTTCGTATCTATCTATTGAAATAAACATGTCACACTGCTAACCCAACCACAGCCCAACGCCACATCGCTTTTTTTTTTTCTTATTAAGATTTTCGTTTTTAAATGATCGCTACACCCAATGTAGGGCTCAAACCCACAGCTCTGCGATCAAGAGTCTTATGCTCCAGTGCTCCACCAACTGAGGCATGTTGCTCATTTGTAACTTCCTTCTGCAACCGCACGGAACTGGGCTGTCCGTATCTATCATATGACCTTATCTGTTCAACCCTAGCACATAAACGGTTCCAGAATTGTTAACGTGGGCCCCTGTGACCCACAAACTGACCGGCTAAAGTACAGTGTTTCTGGACAGTTTAGACAGTCATTTGAACGGGAAGCCGCAGTGCCAAGCAAAACAAGCGTGTGGTTGTGGGACAGAGGCGGCCCTTGGGGCTCCAGTTTGAGATCCCCCAAACCATGGCTGCTCTGCTCTCTGGCCACGGGAAAGTTGTCAGTTCGCACCTCCCTGCAGCCACGTTCATGCCCCAAGGATTGGTCTGAAGGGGGTGGACAGGACAGAACGGGAACCTGGCTGTGGTCCCCTTATTCTCTAGGCGGGTGGGGGGTCAGAAGGCACTATCTTAGGGGCGCCTGGGTATCAGTCGGTTGAGTGTCCGACTTTGGCTCAGGTCATGATCTCACGGTTGGTGAGTTCGAGCCCCACATCGGGCTCTGCACTGATAGCAGAGAGGCCTGCTTCAGATTCTTTATCTCCCTCTCTCTCTCTGTCCCTCTCCAGCTTATGTACGAGCGCTCTCTCAAAAATAAGCATTGAGGGGCGCCTGGGTGGCTTAGTCGGTTAAGCGTCCGACTTTCGCTTAGGTCATGATCTCGCGGTTCGTGGGTTCGAGCCCCGCGTCGGGCTCTGTGCTGACTGCCAGCTCAGAGCCTGGAGCCTGTTTCAGTCTGTGACTCCCTCTCTCTCTGACCCTCCCCTGCTCACGCTATCTCTCTCTCTCTCTCCTAGAAATAAATAAAAAACATTAAAAATTTAAAAAAAAAAAAGCATTGAAGAAGAAGGAGGAGGAGGAGGAGAAGGAGAGGAGGAAGAAGAAGAAACCATGTTAGGCATTGTGTCCGATCACAGGCTCTGACTCTGCTTTGAGAGTGGGTGCAGACCAGGGTGGGGTGGCCCCCGTGTGCATGTGTGAGGGCCTTGGTGGCGGAACCTGCTTGGTGGGTGCAGCCGCCCAGGCATGCAGCAGGTGGGCGGGCTGTGGCAGGAGCCAGGGAGGCCCTTCCCCTGGGAAGAGGCCAGGCTGGGCAGGGGTGGGGGAGGGCAGGGGTGGGAATGAACTGGGGGTAGTGATGCCGGAGCCTCATGGGGCCTGAACTGAATCCCCTAATTCTTCCTCGGGGATACAGTGGTGACCAATAATCCCCAACATTTATTGAGCTCTCCCTGTATACCCTGGCTCTGTTCTAAATCATACCTTTCATCCTCAATGATATCCCTTAGAGTGGATACTGGTATTGATTCGATTTTACAGATGAGGCCACTGAGGCTCAGCAAGGGCATCCTTTGACCAAAGTCCCAGGCCACAAACTCTCTAAGCCTGGCAACGGGCTCTGAATGCTTTATATTTATATGACGTCTGGCCAGAGGAACAGACAGGGTCTCTGCCTTGGATCTGGGGAAAACATGGCCACATGAATAAACAATCAATGTAATTTCGATGGTGCCAAACACCAGGCGAGATTGGGGAGGAAGCGGACAGATCAATGAAGCCTCTCTGAGGAGGTGACCAGCTGGGAAGGGTTGGGAGAGGACACCAAGCAGGGCCATGTGGACCACGGTGAGGACTTCGGCGTTTCCTCTGAGCGACCTAGTAAGCCATGGGAGAATTTAGAGCAGGAGAGGGACCTGATCTGAGTATTAAGAACTGAGCCACAGGTGTGGAATGGTGGGCAGAGGCGGAAGCCCAGAGGCGTCCATCTGGGAGAAGTCAGGGTCCCACTCTATAGAAAAGAGGAGGTAGCGGGAGGAAGGGAGGGAGGGAGGGTAGGGGGGAGGGAGGGCTGGAGGCCCTGGAGGAAGGCCGGAAGGCCCCCCCCCTTTGCAGCATAGAACCTCACCGAGGTGAGACTGACGCCTGGGAGGTGTGAAGAGGCCCCTTCCCACAGGGGATGTGGCTTCCCCCTTTACAGAAAAGGGTCATTTATCCAGGCCTGTGCGGCCCCACAGCATCTGGGGAATCTTCAGGGTTTGGTGGGCAAGGCCACGGGGCACCCGCACTAAGGCGCTACCCACCCCTTTACTCCAGCCCCGCTGACCGGCTGACCGCGCTGTCTCGCACGTGTCTCCGCCTCCCCAGAGAACAGCGGGGGCAGAAGCCGCGGGGATCCCCAAGGGGCTACGTGGAGCCACAACCAGGCCCGGGTGCCCCTCGTGATCCCTCACCCCCAGCCTCTAATTCAGCGCCCCTGGGACGCCCTCACCCTACCCACTGCTGAGTCAAAGGGCACCATCCTGGTGAAGGTCTGTGGCAACCAGGCCCCAGCCCCCTTCCCGCCTGTAGCCTCTGGTCTGAGGGTGCGGGAGCTGGGCCTGGCCAGAAAGTTCCTGGGAACTGGCAGTGGGGGTGTGGGGCTAGCCGAGACTGGCCCTCTGGAGGGGTGCAGGCCTGGGAGAAGCGTGAGACAGCGACACAAGACACAGCCAACGACTGAGAGACAGGGAGAAAGAGAGACGGATCCGAGAGACCCAATGAAACAGATGCACACCGAGAAAGCGAGGGAAACATTCATTCACTCACTCGCCGGTTTACTTATAGGGCCTGGGCACTGCCCAGACAGATGCTAATCCCTGCCTCCACGGGGACTGACAGTCTGATGGGGACACAGCCCAGAAACACGGTAAATGAGTAAGTCACATTGTTGGAAGCAATAAGGGGGTGGGGGTGGGGGAGCCAGGAGGGCATACGATCCAGACCTTTCTCATCTGGGGAGAGGGGGGCTCCCACCAGAATCCTGCCTTCACCTTCTCCTCCAGAACTCGCAGAAAGCCAGGCGTGGGACCCGGGGAATGGAGAGTGGCCTGCGCCCCGAGTTCCCATCCGCTGGGGAGAGGGGACTGAGGCTACCGTTTCCCTTGCTGAAGACCCCTTCTAATCTGCGCTGCCGCGGTCCCTCGACGGTGCGGCGTTCTTGAGGTGCAGCCCCCCCCCCCCCGCCCGAGGCTCAGCTGGAAGGTAGGCGGGTAATGGGGAGGGGCCAGTGTCCAGTCTCCAGAGGACAGACAGGACCCCTCTGCTGCGGGGCGGGAAGAGGCTCAGGCTGCGACCGCCCCTGTAGAGAACCTCCCCTTCCCGAGACTCCGGGTCCTCCCACCGCGACGGAGCGTCCCTGGGAAAGAAGTTCAGGCCCGGAGGGGGCGACCAAGGGCTCGCCGGTGCCAGTCGCCGCCGGGGCGCGCTCCGGTGCCGCGGCGGGTGGCACAGGCTGGCAGCCACGGGCTGGGTGCCCGGACGCCAAGGGGAGGGGGCAACTGTTTGCGACGGCCAGCGGTCCGCGTTGTGGCCCGCCCCCTCTGCGCGCCAGCTCCAGCCCGGCTCCCCGCCCTTCTCCCCCTCTCTCCCCCACCCTGCCCCGCGCCCCGCCTCGCGTCTGCGTCCGCTCACTCTGCTCCTGGCAGCGCGACTGCCAGGGGCGCGCGACCAGGGCGCAGGGGTGAGTATGCAGCACTGGGTCTCCAGGCGCGCGCGGGGACTCAGGCTGGCCCGCAGGAGGTTGCCCTGACCACTACCCCGGTCTCCTTGTTCGGGTTTCCCCGGAGGCCTGGGGAGTGGGGGGCGGGGGAGGAGGGAAGCCGGCGACTCCCAGGCTGGATGCGGGGGCCGAGGATGGGAGTGGGGAAGCTTGGAATCCCCTGGCCTCGCCCTCTCCCGCCGTGCCACTGCGAGTTTGGCTACTTCAATCTTGCCGCCAGGCAAACCTGGGGGAGGCGGGAGATGTCCCCATCAGAGCGAGTGTAACCCGTGTTTGCATGTATTTGATGCCCCCCCCCCCGCCCCCCTTCAGCGTGGCTGGGTCGGTGACTCTCTGTAGGTTTGCATTTGCCTTTGTTCCTTGAGTGCCGCTGAGGCCGCCTGGGTTGCATTCGCTCCCCCCAGGTCCAAACAAGTCAGCTCCCCTTCCCAGGACTCGGTTTTCTCCTCTATTAAGTGGGACTCGCGCCGCGATGTGACCATTTCTGAGTAGCTGTATTTGCCCAGGAGCATGAGCACCTTTGCGTCTCCTATGTGTGAGGCACTTCTTTAGAGCCACTTTCCCATCTGTAACTTGGGATTAAGGGGAGAGCTGTCAAGGGGATTAAAGGGTGAAGTCTCAGATGGGAAATATTTCTTTTAAGTTTATTTATTTATTTTGAGGGCGGGGGCGGACAGAGAGAGAGGGCGAGGATCCCAAGCAGGCTCCGCCCTGTGAGCACAGAGCCTCACATGGAGCTGGAACTCACCAACTGTGAGATCATGACCTGATCATGAGCCTGAGCCGAAGTCGAGAGTCCCACGCTTACTGCCTGAGCCACCCAGGCGCCCCTGGGAAGTATTATTATACTCTAATGACATGTGCGCCCCTCTGCAAAAGCCTGTCTGTGAGATCTGGAGCCTGTCTGCTGCCCTCAGGCTCTGCCTCTGCAAAGTAGACCAGACTCTGCTCCCTTACTGGTTTTTGTATGGTGTGTGTGTTTGTGCGCGCGTGTGGTGGGTGAAGGTTGTGCCAGGTTGAGCGAGGCATGTGGCTTGTAGAGCTGTGGGCTGCAGGCTGGGCATGGGTGGAGGTTGTGAAACTGTGGTCTGTGCGAGTGGGCGTGAGACCCCGTGTGAATGTGACTGAATTCAGGTCCCTGTATGTGCCTGTCTGTGCAGCTCTGTTCATGTGTGAATAAACTTGCCCGTTTCCCTGATGGGGTGTGACTTTGTACGGTTGCTCTAGTTTGTGACTGTGCGCGTCGCTGCATTTGTGTGCGTTCCCGTCCATGATTGAATCTGCCCCTGGATATCCCAGGTTGTGTGATTATTAGTGTCCCTTTCCTGCGAGACTCTGTGTCACCATGTCCCCTCTGATATTCCTTGCGTGTCTTTTGCCTTGGCCTGTCTCCGTGGACACCTCCTTTCCATCCCGAACGCCCTCTGGGTCCTGGCGGAGGTGTGCAGTGGTGGGTGGGTCGGGGTTAGGGTCCCTTTCCCGGGGCGGCGCCACCCGGAGCCACCCGGCGCCACCGTGCCCGCCTCCTCACCTGACCCTCCGTTTCACCTCTCCGCAGCCTTGGGGCAGGCGGCCCATGGAGCCCGGGCTGCTGCGGCCGGCGCCGGTGAGCGAGGTCATCGTCTTGCATTACAATTACACCGGCAAGCTCCGCGGTGCGCGCTACCAGCCCGGCGCGGGGCTGCGCGCCGACGCTGTCGTGTGCCTGGCCGTGTGCGCGCTCATCGTGCTCGAGAACTTGGCGGTGCTGTTCGTGCTTGGGCGCCACCCGCGCTTCCACGCGCCCATGTTCCTGCTCCTGGGCAGCCTTACGCTGTCCGACCTGCTGGCGGGCGCGGCCTACGCCGCCAACATCCTGCTGTCGGGGCCTCTCACGCTGCGCCTGTCGCCCACGCTCTGGTTCGCCCGTGAGGGGGGCGTCTTCGTGGCGCTCGCCGCGTCCGTGCTGAGCCTCCTGGCCATCGCGCTTGAGCGCCGCCTCACCATGGCCCGCCGAGGACCCGCACCCGCCTCCAGTCGGGGACGCACGCTGGCGATGGCGGCCGCCGCCTGGGGCGTGTCGCTGCTTCTCGGACTGCTGCCGTGGCTCGGCTGGAACTGTCTGGGCCGCCTGGACGCCTGCTCCACCGTCCTGCCGCTCTACGCCAAGGCCTACGTGCTCTTCTGCGTGCTCGCCTTCCTCGGCATCCTGGCCGCCATCTGCGCGCTCTACGCGCGCATCTACTGCCAGGTGCGTGCCAACGCGCGCCGCCTGCGGGAGCGCCCGCGGGCCGCCCGGGGCGCCTCGACGCGGGCCCGCCACACGCCGCGCTCGCTGGCGCTGTTGCGCACGTTCAGCGTGGTGCTCCTGGCCTTCGTGGCGTGTTGGGGCCCCCTCTTCCTGCTGCTCTTGCTCGACGTGGCGTGCCCGGCGCGCGCCTGCCCCGTGCTCTTGCAGGCCGACCCCTTCCTGGGGCTGGCCATGGCCAACTCGCTTCTGAACCCGATCATTTACACGCTCACCAACCGCGACCTGCGCAACGCCCTCCTGCGTCTCTTCTGCTGCGGCCGCCGCCCCTGCAGGAGGAGGCACAGAGCCTCCCAGGAGTCCGAGAGCGCTGCTGGGGCTTCGGGAGGCCTGAACCGCTGGCTGCCCCCTGGCTTGGACGGCAGCTCCAGCCCCTCCGAGCGCTCCTCGCCCCAGCGGGACGGGCCGGACACGAGCGGCTCCACTGGCAGCCCCGGGGCGCCCACAGCCGCCCTGACCCTGGTACCGGCACCGGCCGCAGACTGACGCCCCTCGGGCCCGCCATTCCCTCCCTAAGAGCTGTTTTGCAGACTTTTTTAAATAAAGGCATTTGTAGGAAAAGCAGCGAAGGCGGTGGAGACAGAAGAGACGAAGGGAAATGTATTTTATTGAGGCTAAACCCCACAGCAGTGAGCCAAACAGACCAAAAGTCGCGGCCCTTGTGGAATTGACGTTCTGATGGGGGACACCGGCAATAAGGAGTGAAGAAAGCCTGGACATAATTCCAGCTCCAGTACCGTGATGCGATGGTGGTCGGGGGGACGCTTCTCTGCAGGAGCGGTGACAGAGGATGTAAGCTGAGAGGTCATTGCCCTGGGGACACTTGAAGGAAGAGCATTTCAGGGAGAGGGAACAGCCGTGCAAAGGCCCTGAGGAAACATGCCTGCGTATTCTATGAAAAGCAAAGATCCCCTTGCTGGCTGGAGCAGCCGATGGAGGGGATGGATGGTGGGAGGGGAAAAAAATCAGGGAAATGTCGGCATAGACAGTGCAGAGCCTTGTGGGTCCCGTGGAGGACTTTGGTTTTGCTCTGAGTGAGGTGGGAGGCAGAGGGCAGAAGTGATGTGCTTCAGATGTTTGCGGATCTCTGTAAGGGTGAAGGTAGAAGCGAGAACAAGTTCAAGGTGTCTGCAGCCACGTGGCCCAGGGGAGCAGTGATGGGGACTCAGATGGTGAGGATTCGGAATAGATCTTGGAGACAGCAGATGGGATTCCTGAGGAGTGGAGTGTGACAGAAAGAAAGGGATCAAGGGCAGCTCCCCTCCCCAGGTTAGAGGACAGGAAACCAAAGACAGGGCGCCCTAAAATCTGACCATGGGAGACACAGCCAATTCCTCCCGGAAACGGGATTTCTCCGAGCGTGGTGTCAGATCCTTCGTAAAAAAATGAAATTATAATAAAGTAATAACAAGTTACAGCCTATTGTGTCTGGCTAGTCTCCCCCCCCCCCAAGCGGTAGGCCCAAGACACAGCTTACTGTCCCCCTTACTTCAACCTTGCAAAGTGGGTTTCCTCACCCCGATTTGACAGATGAGGAAACTCTAAGCAGTGAGTACCTTGCCCGGTGTCTGGGCCAAGATACCAGCCCAGACGGTCAGGGCCCGGGGCCCAAAGAGGCGCAGGCCTGGTGTCTGGCTTGGAGGGGTGTGGTGAAGCCAGACATGCCCTCCCTCAGTGGTCTGCATTCTTGTCTGGGGGTGAGGGGGCCCTGTGTGTGCCCATAAAAGGCTCAGGGCACACTGGCTGTGGCCACTGGCTGTCCCTAGATGCATTCCTGACCCTGGTGCGACACTGCCGCCCCAGGGGGGACAGGGGGCTTCGGGCTCCTGGAGACCCTACAGCTGCAGGCGGCCACAGAGCCAGCAGTGTGTTTTTGGGGGGCCGCTGACCCAGCCTGGGGGCCTGAGTGTCCCGCTGGCTACGTTCAGGTCATCCCTGCAGGTCACACGCACCGCAAATCAACTTATTTCCTGAAACACAAATACACTCAAGGCTGGACACTCCCAGGACCTGACCTAATTCCCACCTGCCCCCGCGCCCGGGGCCTGGTGCCCCAGACCCCAGACTCCTTTACCTTCCAGGGAAACCTGCAGCTCGCTCCTCTGTTCAGTTATTTGATAGTGTGATGGCAGGGGATTTACTCACTGATTCCTATTTTACAAAATTTGAAAAGCACCAGTTCGCCTTTTCGGACATGATCACGGGGGGGGGGGGGGGGTGGGGGGGGGGGGGGCAGAATTCCTTGGAGAGTTCCAGAGCTGTTCGGTGGATAAACGGATAAACGGGCTGACTTGTAACACTCTTCTCTTTTTCTGACACTCTAACACTGCTCTGCACCTTGCTTTGTTCACTTACTAGGAGATCTTGGAAATTGTTGCCTACCCCCAGGTTTCATGCCATCTTGCTGTTTTAGTCGGCTCAGGCTGCCTATGACAAACACGATTATCGGGGCAGTTTAAACAGCAGAAATGTATTTCTCACAGTTCTGGGGGCTGGAAGCCCGACATGAGGGCACCAGCATGACCAGTAGCAGATGGTCACTTGCTGCTGGTGTGTCCTCTCCCGGTATAGAGAAATCAAGCTCCCTGGGGTCTCTTCTTATAAGGGTCCTAATCCCATCATGGGGCCCCACCTTCAATTACCTCATCCTCCCCCAAACCCCATCTCCAAATACCATCAGAGTGGGGATTAGGGATTTAACATATGATATTCATACTCCGGAGGAGGGGGCAATGCAATTCAATCCATAGCACTTTTTAATTTAAACATTTTAAAATATTAATTTATTTACTTGAGAGGGGTGCAGAGAAAGGGAGAGAGAGAACCCCAAGCAAGCTCTGCACCGGCGCGGAGCCCATCTGGGGGCTTGAACTCACAACCCTTGAGATCACGACCTGAGCTGAGATCAAGAGCTGGATGTTCAGCCGAGTGAGCCACCCAGGTGTCCCTTATTTAAACATTTAAAAAAAAAAATCAAGCTAGGGGAACCTGGGTGACTCAGTCAATTAAGCGTCTGACTTTAGCTCAGGTCATGACCTCCCTGCTCATGGGTTCAACTCTGTGCATCGGGCTCCGCACTGACAGTGCGGAGTCGGCTTGGGATTCTCTCTCCCCTCCTCTCTCTCTCCCTTCCCTGCTCATGCTCCTTCACTGTCTTTCAAAAATAAATAAATGTTGGGGTGCCTGGGTGGCTTAGTCGGTTGAGTGTCTGACTCTTAGTTTTGGCTCAGATCACGATCTTGCAGTTTGTGGGTTCAAGCCCTGCATCGGGCTCTGCCCTGGCAGAGTGGAGCCTGCTTGGAAATCTCTCTGCCTTTCCCTCTGCCCTTCTCCGGCTTGTGCGCTCTCTCTCTCTCTCTCAAAATAGGTAAATAAATAGATAAAATTTTTAAAATTCTGTTCTAAAAATAATCTTTAAAAAAAGAAATACTATATATCTTTGAAAAGACATAAAGATACATTACTTCCAGTTTTCGAACAAAATGGCTTCATAAAAATAAAAAAACTTAAGAGATTTTAATGTTTATTTATTTTTGGGGGAGAGAGAGAGAGAGAGCACGAGCAGGGGAGGGCAGAGAGAGAAGGAGGCAGAGGATCTGAAGTGGGCTCCATGCTAACAGCAGATAGCTCCAAGCAGGATTTGAATCACTCATGAACTAAGAGATCATGGCCTGAGCTGAAGTCAAATGCTTAACTGACAGAGCCACCCAGGCGCTCCATCCCACCCCCCAAAATTTAAACTGAGTATCTCATAGGAATAATTCTTACCATATGTGATATACATGCATTCCTGAAAAGCTAGATGGCAAACTGACTCAAATTTCAACTGCACTTGGGAAGTTTACTTCCTAAAGATACTCTATATAAAACCTTTTATAAAAGGAAAAAAAAGTCCATCTCAATGAAAACTAGGTGAATAAAGGAAAGAAATGCCAGGCTAAAAAGATGTTGGTCTAAGAAAAGATTCCGCCAGCTTTAGGAGTGAATTTTCAAGATGCAACATCCCTGCTCAGTCTAGGATTAAATCCAAGCCAGAGGACCGGAGGGGCGGGGAGGGGGTGCTGTTGAGTAGAGCTGCAGTTCTGGACCGCGCCAGAAGGGGCGCCATAGCAGTCAGTGAATAAGCGGAGTGGCCCAGGTTGCCGGAAGCCAGCACCCTGTCAGAACGTGCGGAAGGCAATCTCTCCTATCTCAAAATCAAATCTACAGGCTCTGTGAGCCAGTGATGTGACTTGTAGAGATTTATCCAAGGTACACTTGCACACGTGCAGGAGGATGTATGTACACGGATGTGCGCTGCAGTGCTGTGTATAAAGGCAAAGGATAGAACTCAAGCCCGGTGGCCCTCTACAGGATCCTGGGGTCATAAATTGTGGCACATCCACACTGTGAAATACTATGCAGCCAGTGAAAAGGATTAGGACAGGGGCGCCTGGGTGGCTTAGTTGGTTAAGCGTCCGACTTTCACTTAGGTCATGATCTCGCAGTTTGTGGGTTCGAGCCCCGCGTCGGGCTCTGTGCTGACTGCCAGCTCAGAGCCTGGGGCCTGTTTCAGAGTCTGTATCTCCCTCTCTCTCTGACCCTCCCCTGCTCACGCTGTCTCTCTATCTCTCTCCTAGTAATAAATAAAAATATTAAAAAAAAAAAAAAGGATTAGGACATTTGCTGAATGTTTACCTCGTTGTTGTTGTTTTTATGGTTCTGTTTTTTTTAAGTATTTATTTTGAGAGAGCGCAAGTAGGGGAGGAGCAGAGAGAGAGAATTATATTAATTTCAAGTGTCCAATATAGTGATTCAACAATTTTATAAATAAAAAACATTAAACATTTTTTAAAAACGGGGCACCTGGGTGGCTCAGTTGGTTATGTGTCCAACTTCAGCTCAGGGCATGATCTCACGGTTCATGGGTTCAAGCCCTGTATCCGGCTCTGTGCTGACAGCTAGCTCAGAGCCTGGAGCCTGTTTCAGATTCTGTGTGTCTCTCTCTCTGACCCTCCCCTGCTCATGCTGTCTTTCTCTCTCTCAAAAATAAATAAAAAACATTACAAAAAATTAAAAAAAACCCAATTCTATACATTACTCAGTGCTCATCAGCATAAGCACACTCCTTAATCTCCTTCACCTATTTCACCCATCCCCCCGGTAACCACCACTGTGTTCTCTATAGCTTAGAGTCTGTTTTTTGGGTTCTCTCTCTTTTTTGGTTTGTTCGTTTGTTTTGTTTCTTAAATTCCACACATGACTGAAATCATATGGTATTTGTCTTTCTCTGGCTGGCTTGTTTTTTCGCTTAGCGTTATACTTTCTAGATCCATGTATGTTGCTGCAAATGGCACGATTTCACTCTTTATTTATGGCAAGTAATATCCCATTATATACATATACCACTTCTTTATCCATTCATCTATGGATAGACATTTAGGCTCCTTCCATAGTTTGGCTAAGATAGACTCTCTTAAAGTTTATTTATTTTATTTTTGAGAGAGAGAGAGAACGAGCAAGCAGGGGAGAGGCAGAGAGAGAATCCCAAGCAGGTTCCACACTATCAGCACTGAGCCCAGGATGGGGCCAGAACTTCATGAACCCTGAGATCATGATCTGAACCACAGTTGGACACTTAACCGACTGAGCCACCCAGGTGCCCCAAGATGGACACTTTTAAAAATAAATACATTTAGCGGCACCTGGGTGGCTCAGTCGGTTAGTGTCCAACTTCGGCTCAGGTCATGATCTCACGGTTCGTGGGTTCGAGCCCCGTGTCCGGCTCTGTGCTGACAGCTCAGAGCCTGGAGCCTGCTTCAGATTCTGTGTCTCCCTCTCTCTCTGACCCTCCTCTGCTCACTCTGTCTCTCCCTCTCTCTCAACAATATTTAAAACATTACAAAAAAAAAAAATAAATAATATAATACATTTTGGGGCTCCTGGGGCTCAGTAAGTTAAGCCTCTGTCTCTTGATTTCGGTTGCTCCCTCCCGCCAGACTCCGTGTTGGGAGTGAAGCCTGCATGAGATTCTCCCTCTCTCTCTCTCTCTGTCCCTCCCCTGTTTGTGTGCTTCCTCTCTCTCCCAAAGAAATGCATAAATAAATTAATTAAATGCATTTAAAGATTAACTTTATATCATAACCGGCATAAATGGTGAATCAGTATCTCTTACGATGAAAAATAACAATTGTTCATGTCTATTGGGCACCTGCGTTCGCATTTAGTCCTCACGATAACCTAGCAGGCAGGTGCCAGTATTAGCAGCGTGGAGAAGTTGCGTTGCGTTTGGAACTCTCCCTACGGTGGTAGAGTGGCAGGGCCCGGCTTCACACGCCTGTAGGCAAGCTTCACGCGCCTCTAGACTGGAGGTAGCAAATAAAGACAAGGAAAAGCCAACTAGGTAAATAATTCTAGCAGGATCCTGCGGCCACTGGACCGCGAGGCCCGAGCTATGTGGGATTACAGAGAGAAGAGCTGGTCGGGGAGAGCAGCCCCGCGCCTAGACGACGAAATCAGACGGATGGAAGGGACAGTGCCAACCGGGACGCACCGGGCCTGCCTGGCCATGTGCCCTCGCCCGCTCCTCGCTCCGGGGCACCGGGCACCTGCGGGAAGGGCGGGGAATCTCGGCTCCTTCCCCGCCGCGCCCTCTCCGCCCTCTCCCCGCCTCCTTCCAGGCCTTCCCGAGGCTGCCCCCCACCCGACATCCGAGACCCCGCAGGCCTCGCGGCCCCAGAGCCAAGGTCCCCCGAGAGCGGAGGCGCCCTCGGCGCCCCCCCCCCCCCGCCCCGAGCGAAAGTTAGGCGGGAGCCTCCCCGGCCGGGCCCCGGACCCTCGGGTTTCCCGGAAGCTCTACGCGCGGGTGGCACCACCGTGCCCGGAGCCGCCGCGGTGCCCCGGGCATCCCCACCCCGCGGCGAGAGCTACGAGGCTACGCGGGGGCCGAGGTGAGCGCTCCGGCCGGGAGGGCTGGTCCACCGAGCTCCGGTGCAGGCAGGGCCGCGCCGGGCCTCGAACCTGGGGCTCTGACTCCCGGCGGCTCCGACTCCCGGCGGCTCCGACCACGCGGCCGGGTGCGCCGCGCCGCAGCGACGGGCGCAGCGCTGGCTGCGCTGGGGCTGCGCCGCCCGGCCGGTGCCGGCGGGAGCGGGGGCGGGGAGAGCGGCCCCTCCGCGGTCCCCGCCGTCCCCGCCGCCCGAGGCCCCGGGGCCGCGGGGACTTTTATTCTGACACGGCCGGCGCCCGGCTCTGCTTAGTCATGGTGACCTGCGCGCGCTCCGCGCCTCCCCCCGGCGCGCAGCGATGGAGGCGCCCGGGCCTGGGCGACGGAGGCGGAGCTCGAGCGCGGCCATGGCGGGGTGAGTGAGGCGGCCTGCGCCCGGGGAACTGGCGCCGCGGGCCGGGAGTGCCCCGGGGGTCGGGGGCCTGGGCGCCGCGGGCCCGGCCGCCCTGGGGTTTCCTGCGGCCCCGCGGAGGGCCCGGAGGGCGCGGCTCGAGTCCTGGCCCTTTGTTGGACGGCGCGACTGGAGGGGTGGCCCGGGAGCTACGCAGGCCGGGCGACAGGCCCAGGGAGTGCCCCTCGGCCCGAGCGCTGGGGAGCCCGGCGCGTCGGGGAAGCCTGGTTTGCCCCCGGGGGTTGGCAGTCGAAAGGCTGCGGCAGGGGTCACTTCCTCCCTTCTCCGGGCCTCGGTGGCGGCTCGGGCAGGGCATGCGCAGTCCCCCCACGTAGCTGCTTCGTGGGGGGGAAGTGTCCACTGTCCAAGGGGCACCGTTGACCGACTGGCCGGAGACCAAGAGGCAGGGCAGGGGCCTCGGGCGGGGAGAGGCGGCCAAGCGGCGCCCTGGGCCCGGTGGAGGAGGGTGCACTGGCACATCGCAGGGGGGCGGGCAGGCAGCCAGCCACTCGCTCACTGACCCCTGAGCGGTGCCAGGCCCCGGGCAGGCCGTGGGGGAGGCCCCGGAGAGGGTGGGCACCACCGTCACCTACCCAGCGCTCCCTGCCTTCTGAGGCGCTGGGGCTGAGCGCCAGAGGCTCGGGCCGTCCCTCAACAGGCAAGTGACGAGCTCAATTCGTTTCTGACAAGTGCTGCGGTGGAAATAAAACAGGAAGGAGATGAGTGTGCGCGGAGCCCGGGAAAAATAAACGGAGAACCCGGGGAGCCGCTTGCAGATCCTCCCCCTCCCGCCCCTCCCTGCAGGACCTTTTAAAACACAGCTCTGCCCGGCCCGGCTCTCCAGACTCCACGGGGTTCATGGACACCTTCCCTTGAGTAGTCAGTCGCTCTCGTTACCTCCTCCCCGAGCCTCCAGATCGTCTCTCTCATGCTGCCTGAGCCTTTGCACTTGCTGTTCCCTCTGCCTGGAAAACCCCTTTCGGGGTGTGTGTGTGCGCGTGCATCCTTCTGGTCTCAGCTCTAACAGACCCCAGGACTACCTGATTTAAAGTAACTGCCCCAAGTCACACTGTCACAGTACTGTTTTCCTCTCTCTCTCTTTTTTTTTTTATAACCCCAATTTCTATTTGAATCATGCTTATTTTACTTTTGGCCCATCCCTCTCCTAACCTCATCTCCGGGGGGTGGCATTCTCATCACTAGTCTCCAGTGCTTAGAACGGTACCTGGCACACAGTAGGTACTCAATAAACGGTGAGGAGAATGAAAGAATGAGCTAGACAAGCTCTGTCCGTCTGACTTTGGCTCAGGTCATGATCTTACTGTTCATGGGTTCGAGCCCTGCGTCGGGCTCTCTGCTGTCAGCACAGAGCCCGCTTCATATCCTCTATCACCCCCCTCTCTCTGCTCCTCCCCGGCTCATGCTCCCCCCCCCCAAAAATAAAATAAACAAACATAAAAAAATAGACATGCTCTACCTAGGAAGTGAAGGGAAGCTGGAACGGAGTGAGCAAAGTGAGAGGCGTACAGAGGCTGACTGTGTAGGGCTCACTAGGCCATTGAAGAGTTTGGTTTTACTCTTTGTGCCATGGGGAGTTGGTGGGGGGGGATATTCTGAGCAAGGGAGCGACATCATCTGACCCGTGTTTCAAGGTGGACTCGGGCTGGTGGGGCCCTGCGGCAGTTAGCACGGACGGACGGACGTTCTGTGCTGGGCTTGGGAAGGACACTGGTCTAGGAGTCGCTTTATCTTATACAAGGAGGCCTGGCCCCAGGCCCTGCCCCCAGCCCTGTGCTCTCCCTCCTCCAGGCCTCTGAGTGCCCGTGGTGGTGTTGTCCCTTGTCACCTGGAACCCCATGCAGCCGGAACCGAGGCCTAGCGGGGCTGGGGCCCGCACCCGATTCCTTCCCCTGAGGTCACAGCGCCCCGAGGGGGCAGGGGACACGGTGATGTACGCCTCCACCGAGTGCAAAGCCGAGGTGACGCCCTCCCAGCATGGCAACCGCACCTTCAGCTACACGCTGGAGGACCACACCAAGCAGGCCTTTGGCATCATGAACGAGCTGCGGCTCAGCCAGCAGCTGTGCGACGTCACGCTGCAGGTCAAGTACGAGGACGCGCCAGCCGCCCAGTTCATGGCTCACAAGGTGGTGCTGGCCTCATCTAGCCCCGTCTTCAAGGCCATGTTCACCAATGGGCTGCGGGAGCAGGGCATGGAGGTGGTGTCCATCGAGGGCATCCACCCCAAGGTCATGGAGCGCCTAATTGAGTTTGCCTACACGGCCTCCATCTCCATGGGTGAGAAGTGCGTGCTCCACGTGATGAACGGCGCCGTCATGTACCAGATCGACAGTGTTGTCCGCGCCTGCAGTGACTTCCTAGTGCAGCAGCTGGACCCCAGCAACGCCATTGGCATTGCCAACTTCGCCGAACAGATCGGCTGCGCCGAGCTGCACCAGCGCGCCCGCGAGTACATCTACATGCACTTTGGAGAGGTGAGCGATGGGAGGAGGCGTGAAGGCAGGGCTTGGGGGCGGGGCAGTATCGGAGGGACCAGGGACAGAGGGATGGACATCCCCGTCTCCCCTTGAGGTGTGAAGGGTCAGATCAGGGAGCTGGAGAAAACCGGGGTTCCGGGGTCCTAGCCTACACATCCGGGGTGGCTCTGGGAAACAGCCAAGGAAAGCGAGAGCTTCATGGGTCGCTGACTTCTCTGGGGTCAAGGGTGCAGTGAACCTGACAGCAGCTCAGCCCTGGGGTGCACTGAGCAGGGCCCAGTATTTCAGGCCGTCAGCAGATGTTTGAGGAACACCCAGGACATCCTGCCTACCTCCGATGTGACCCTTAGACGGATTTTCTTTGGTCCATGCAGTGTTGTCCTTACACTGTTCTTGGTTTCATTTTCGTTTTTACATGGAGGAAGTTGTAAGGAGAAAATGACAGGTTCCTTGTAAAATCACAACGATGAGCCCAAATTCTTGGGTGGCAGCCACCGGAGGCTGTGCCCTTGGGATGATGATAATTATAAGTGTTTGTTGAGCACTTGCTGGGCCAACCCCTGGTCTAAGCGATTTCCATTCTTCAGAGCATTGGATTTTCTCAACTATCCCTATGAGGAAGTACCACCCTTAGGTCTGGACCCGAGAGGGCTGCACCCCAGGTCCCAAGCCTCGGGGAGTCCCGTGCTTCCTGGAAACTGTCTTTAAAAAAAAATTTTTTTTTTAGTGTTTGTTTATTTTGAGAGAGCCACAGAGCGTGAGCAGAGGAGGGGCAGAAAGAGAGGGACACACAGAATCCAAAGCAAGCTCCAGGCTCCGAGCCATCGGCACAGAGCCTGACGCAGGGCTCGAACCCACGAGCAAGATCATGACCTGAGCTGAAGTTGGATACTCAACCGACTGAGCGACCCAGGCGCCCCTTCTTCCTGGACATTTTCAGTCCTCCTCCAGTGGCTGGGATTAGTTGGGGTAGATAGTGCCCTGGTTTCCATTTCTTTCCTTTTTTTTTTTTTTTTTTTTTTTTTTTTTTTTTTTTTTTTTTTTTTTTTTTTTTTTTTTTTTTTTTTTTTTTTTTTTTTTTTTTTTTTTTTTTTTTTTTTTAAATAAATTTA